ATATCGCCTTGTACTCCCTGATTTGGTGTATTGCCGTGAGCTCCTAAAGCAAGCCTACCTATTCCACGTTGCTTAATTTCTAATCTTGCTTGAACTTCTGATCTCAAGCACAAGACCGCATTGCCGAACGTCAGCCCAGGAACCATGACCCCTTTCCATATTCCTCTCACAACATCATACCCATTGTAATTCCACAGTGCCCTATTTTTCATGACCGCTGCATTCCTGTTACCTTTAGTCGTCACGTATATTTTGTGTTCCCTCAGATACTCGGTCCCATTGCTTATCCATACGCCCAGATATTTGTATTTATCTGTTATCTCTAGCGTGACCTCCTGTATTCTAAGCTCACTACCTTCGTTGTCAATCAAAATCATGACTGCTGATTTTTCCTTACTGAATCTAAAATCTAACTTATCTCCCTCATTACCGCAGATGTCCATCAATCTCTGCAAATCTTCCTTGTTGTTGGCCATTAGCACTATATCATCTGCGTACATTAATGCTGGTAGTACCTGATCAATAAGTTTTCCTTGTGTGACTAAAGAGAGGTTGAAGCCCAGTCCACTTCCCTCTAATTTTGCCTCTAATCCTTGTAGGTACATCATGAATAATAAGGGTAAAGAACCTTTCCTAGTTAGGGTGGCTAGAATAAGAAGGTGTGAAAAGCGGCCGCTGAAACCGGTCACCAACGTGCGCCGATGCCGCTTGGAGCGCTGCACGCAGAGGCGCTGCACGCAGAGGCACGCAGAATTGTGGGGAATACTGGACACACTAGGCGTGGAACATGTAGTCACTAATCTTTTAAAGGGTATTTATAAAGGTAACAAGGTAGTTATAAAGTGGGAAAAACAGGTATCCAAGCCTGCAGAGGTAAAACGGGGGCTTAGGCAGGGGTGCCCCCTGTCACCCTTATTATTCATGATGTACCTACAAGGATTAGAGGCAAAATTAGAGGGAAGTGGGCTGGGCTTCAACCTCTCTTTAGTCAAACAAGGAAAACTTATTGATCAGGCACTACCAGCATTAATGTACGCAGATTATATAGTGCTAATGGCCAACAACAAGGAAGATTTGCAGAGATTGATGACATCTGCGGTAATGAGGGAGATAGGATAGATTTTAGATTCAGTAAGGAAAAATCAGCAGTCATGATTTTCAATGACAACGAATGTAGTGAGCTTAGGATACAGGACGTCACGCTAGAGATAACAGCTAAATACAAATATCTGGGCGTATGGATAAGCAATGGGACCGAGTACCTGAGGGAACACGAAATATACGTGACGACTAAAGGTAACAGGAATGCAGCAGTGATGAAAAATGGAGCACTGTGGAATTAATATAGGTATGATGTTGTGAGAGGAATATGGAAAGGGGTCATGGTTCCTGGGCTGACGTTCGGCAATGCGGTCTTGTGCATGAGATCAGAAGTTCAAGCAAGATTAGAAATTAAACAACGTGGAATAGGTAGGCTTGCTTTAGGAGCTCACGGGAATACACCAAATCAGGGAGTACACGGTGATATGGGATGGACATCATTTGAGGGCAGGGAAGCTAGCAGCAAGATAAAATTTGAGAAGCGATTGAGAAAAATGAAGGAGGAGCGTTGGGCTAGGAAGGTTTTCAGCTACTTGTACATGAAAAATGTCGATACAAAATGGAGGAAGCGAACCAGGAAGTTGACTGGTAAATACTTAGAAAACAGCAGGTGGCCAGACCAAAAAGAACTATCGGTTAAGAAGAAAGTGAAGGAAACGGAGACTGACGTGTGGAAAATGGGCATGATTAAGAAGTCCGCACTAGAGATCTATCAAACTTTTAAGCAGGAAATTGCCAAGGAAAGGATCTATGATAATACTCGGGGTAGTTCTCTACTGTTTGAGGCAAGGACGGGAGTACTGCGAACCAAGACATATCGGGCCAAATACGAAGGCGTAGACACAGTATGCAGTGCGTGTGGAGAGGAAGAAGAAACGGCCGAACACTTGATAATGTTCTGTAAAGGGCTTCACCCTATAGTTCAAGATGATGGCGCAGAGTTTTTCAAAGCACTGGGGTTTAGGGACCGGGAGGGCAAAATAGACTTTAAGCAAGTAGACTTAACTAGAAGGAGGTTATCTGATTGATGGCTAAAGTCAATCATGAGTGAAAATTAAACTATTCATTGCAAAGTACGAATCCTCAAACTCACTTTTTAAGGGAAAAAAATAAATATAGTTTTGGGTTCATTAAGTATTACGACTTGGTGGCGCTAGCCACCGCCCGATCTAAAGGGTACAACCATATTCATCCATCCATTCATCCATCCATCCATCCATCCATCCATCCATCATCCATCCATCATCCATCCATCCATCCATCCATCCATCCATCCGAGAGGAGAAAAGAGACGAACATTACGTGGCCGCGCCGTCGGGTGGAGTGTCCACACCTAAATTATTTTTCTTACACCATGTTCAGACTGAACATACCGACAAGGGCCACAACATCAACAGGATAACTTACATTAAAAAAAAAAACGCGCGAACTGTGCGCTAAAGCTGTCACTCATTTTGAGCTTCTGAGGGCCGACTTAAGGCAAGATTGTTTTATTGCGATAGCAGTTATATGAACGATTTCGGCAGTTTTTCTGCCGTCGCCGCCGTCATTCAAGTATATGTATATGTATGTATTTACAGGGAAGGATGCGCTAGCCTTCTCTTCTGCGGATCCACGATCGCATCGCCATTCTGGCCATGGTCGTCTGCGCGTGCGCTTATCTCGTGAGCGAACAAGAGGGGGCGGGGGGGGGGGGGGCTTAATGGTTGCCGTGCTATCGTGGCGATGATCAGCGCGCGCCTTGTGCCCCTCAGCAGGCGCGAGCTTCTACGGGCTGCGCTCTCAACACGGAAAACGGTGTCAAGAGTGCACCTGAGTGGCCGTGTTCTCTTTCACCAGCATTTGTACAGTTACGTTAGATCGGATCTGAATATGAGTTGACTGCCAGCCTCACTTCGTATAACATTGCATTTTGTCGATATCGCATTCATTGCTTTGATCACCTTTTCGGCGAAACTGATTTTGTGCCCTCATTCCTGCCACAGTCGTGAACTGCACTTGACAATATGCGCACGAGCATGCTACTTGAGATACAGCTAGGTATCGAACGAATACGCGCGTTTTGCAGAAGAATGCATAGCTGAGCAAGCTGGTACTGATTCAGAAAATGGACAGAAACACGAAGTAGAGAAAAAGAACAGACAAGCGCAGACTATCAACTGAAGCTTTATTGCAAGACCGAGGCAATATATAAAGGAAAGGATAAAAAGCAAGGGAGGGCAAAGGGGGACGAGAAAAAAGGCACGAGGAACCAGACCAACAAGACCTAGGCCACATCACGAATAGCACGCACGTCAAACAAAACCTAGAAAGCTCAACTCCTTATCATGTGTGGCCATAGATGTAACACTGACGCACGACTCGAAAATCTTGTGAATATCGCAGCCTCATTAAGTTCGCACACTGTTTGGTTTTTATGCCGACACAACACAGAAGTATCATCAAAGAGCGGAACGTAGCGGCATTCCCTACAGTGGCCTGCCAGATAAAGGCCGGAATGGCCTTTCAGAGAATTAAAATGTTCTCCAAGTCTAACATTATGACAGTGACCTGTCTGACCCACGTATACACGATTGCATGACAAGGGTGGTGATTCATGCTACATAATTATGAATATAAATAACGTTGCATGTATCTTGCTGGCCACATATCTGATCCGCGATTCGTCTATCTACTTCGGCACCTAAAGTTGATAACTTGTTCCTGGCATAAATAACCACTCGGACGTCATACCTTGAGGCCACCTTTTTTGGGCGGTGGGTAAAACCGTGAACATATAGAATAACAACGAATTTCTTACGCTGCGCCTTCTCGTCCAAGTTGCAACCAACACCAGGACCTCTTTTTATTTTCCTAATTAACTTCTCGCAGACCTTTAACAAAACATCCCGTTAGTCATAACTCGGCACATCGTTTTTTGCTGCAGCATGCTGACAGATAAATATTTACAGTCTCCTCATTATAATTTCAGTTTCGGTCTTACAGAGCTCCGAAAAACGACAAGCCGCCGGGTGCAGCTATCGGGCGCGAGGCCCACCACTGGAGGCACGAGCGCTGCAATCGCTGTGACGTGCAGGGTTGGATCACATGATCTCTCCTCGCTCTGGCGAAGGAAAGCCGGCGGTTGGATGCATTGTGTTTGACCGCGGCTTCGCGGTGTTTTCATTTTTCTCATCGTTATATTGCTTGACTTCATGTGCGCGGACTTCTGCAGACCACACGATGCGAAAAGTCGCAGTAAAAATTACCGGTGGCGTGCCACAGTTTGCTGCGTATGCGATGCCACTGGTCACCTCTCTCGTTTTTCGTTGTGGTTGTTATTTCGAGCCCATGGGGTTACAATGAGCACAGACCATGAATGTTCACGTAAAAGCAGATCGTTTCAATTTCAGCATGAAAGCCTCATGTGCAAACGGTACGATTATGTATATTTCATAATAGGACGTAGGAGCGTACATGTAAAGTAAGTTCTTAAGCAACAATTTGTCTTCCGCAAGAGCTCGGCGAGAGGTCTGTGACTGACTGCGAAGGGGTTTGACCGACCTTGACAACCAACGTAGGGCCGGTCTTGGGGATTGGCCTCACGCCGGCCGACGTCGGAACACAACGCAGGCCCGGCCGCGTTGGCCGACGAGCCCGAGTGCGTGCCGCACGCGGGTCGACCATGGCCCGACCTTACATCTATTTATCGGCGGCTGTGGGTCGGCTGCGAACGTTCCTTGCTCACCTTTTGTTTTGCATTTTTTGCACATGGCATTGGCTTAGTGCGCATGTAAAACGAAATTAAGCGCCTCTAAAGCCTGCACTTCTTATCGTATGTGTAACACGCAATAAAAGAAAGACGGACCTAAGCTTCCTCACTTTATATGTTTATTGCACAGTTGAATAATTGCACTATGTTTTCATGCCACATTGTTCGCATGGAACGATTTGCAGTAGGCCTTGTGCAACCCAACTATACAACCGATGGAGTGGTAATGCTGCTAGATCAGTTTTCTCTTTCGGTCAATTTTCGTGCTCTTGGCAGTGAATACGTATTCGGTGTGCAATGTTTTACTACCGAGATGTGAGTCTTGTATCGTTCTTTTGCTGGGAAGAGCTGAAAAGAACAAACCTAACAATTAATACTTAGAGATAGACAGATGATATGCATGACTAGTTGCACAGTCGCATGCGTGAAACGCATGCGACTGTACACGCACAATTCGGCAAAAAAAATGTGGGTATACACACAAATAAGAAAAAATTGTGCACTTACAATAATTATGTCAGTCCGTTGATATTCTGAAACGTGCTTGAAGCCCCAGAGCACAAAGTTCCTCGTAATATGTCGTTGAAAACAAACAGTACAACAAATAAATTAACGACAACACATCTTACCTTCAAGGCGGGCCATGCAGATATTTTCCAGTCTTCGTTTGCAGCTCATTTGCGACCTAATGTAAGGTGAAAAAAATTGCGTGGGACTTTCGCAACCAAGCATGCATCTTACCAAACTTCCTTTCAGTATGGCGTGAGACCAGTGCATCACGCTATACACCCTTTTTGCAGTCCTTGTTGCAGTGCTTCCTAATGGAAAAAATATCAATATTTGTTATGCTCTTGCAATATAAACAAACGAACAAAAAACACGAAAGGCGTGTATTTACCCGAAAACGATCAACGACGACTGATGCAGTAGCCGTTCACCCGAATCACTCTTATCCGGCTTCTAGAGGAGACTAACAGATTGACATATCAGTTGCTCAGATCAAAGTGAATTTTTCCAAAAGACAAAACTGGCAATGCGTCAGCAAACATTGCCACTTACGAGTACGCATAAAATCTTCGGCGGCGGGACGCGGCTGCCTCTAGGAACATGGCAAATGAAATGCTGCTCAATGCATGTGCATGGTATGACTTTGCATGGTTGCGCTGCAGTAACTCGTCGGCGCTCCGAGCGTTTCGCCAACACTTGCGTCTAGCGCAAAAAGAAAAGGCATATAAACACACGAGAACACAAACAGCAGCAGCAACGCAAAGTCGTGGGTCTTCGTAACACGTACGAAGGCTACTGTGTGAAGTAGGGCTTCAGTCGAATGACATGCATGGTTTCAGGCCGAAGCTGTCGACAAGAAGACACTGCGCCGACCGGAAATACCTCGTAGGTAACATCTGTGACACGTGTAAGAACCTTGTACGGTCCAAAATAACGGCCTAAAAGTTTTTCGTATAAGCCTGGTCACCGGAAAGGGATCCACACCCACACTCTGTCCCCAGGGTGGTAGGCGACGTTTTGACGGTGGAGGTTGTAACGCCGTGCGTCTGCATCTTGTTGGTGACTGGTGTTTATGCGGGCTAGCTCATGAGCTTCTTCGGCGTACTGAGTGTATTGCTCAGCGTCTGAGGCAAGTTCATCGCTTTGGTCGCACGGAAGCATTGCATAGAGCATATTGGTTCGCACGTTGAGTCCGTAAACAAGGCGGAAAGGCGGAAATCGCGTTATTTCTTGCGTTGCCGTATTGTACGCAAACGTGATGTATGGAAGAATCTCGTCCCAAGTTTTGTGTTGTACGTCCACGTACATTGACAGCATGTCTGCTATGGTCTTGTTAAGCCTCTCTGTCAGTCCATCGGATTGCGAGTGATAAGCCGTCATTTTTCAATGAGTTGTGCAGCTCAACTTCAAAATATCCTCCATAATTTGCACTGTAAACGACGTCACTCTGTCCGTAATAACGCCTGACGGGGCACCATGCATGCCGTAAGACGATTTGGTGCACGAAGAACTTCGTGACTTCAGAGGCCGTTCCACGGGGCAACGCTTTTGTTTCAGCATAACGAGTAAGATAATCGGCCGCAACTATAATCCATTTGTTCCTGGAGGATGACAAAGGGCAAAGGGAAGGGTACGAGAAGGTTCATTTCCACGAGGTCAAACGGTGTCCACTGTGGTGCGATCGGCTGGAGCAGGCCCGCGGGTCTCACAGGTGGAGTCTTGCGACGCTGGAACTCACGGCAGCCTTTCACATAGCGATGTACACTAGTTGGTTGTCGCAGCCAGTAATGATGTGGGCATACTCGGGCGAGAGTTCACGTATAGCCCAAAGGTCCTGAAGTGGATTCGTCGTGGCACGCAAGGAAGATGTCATTACGCATGTCGGTAGGAACAACGAGTAGGAAGGCTTTGTCGCTACCACGAGCGTTTTTCTTGCAAAGAATGCCTCTTTTTAGACAAAAGCAGAATAGATAGCGAGCAATGCGTTGAAAAACCTGAGAATTCCGCCTTTCCAGGGAATCAATAACTGGGCGTAATTTTTCGTCTGCCCGCTGTCTTGACATGAATTCGGAATCGCTAACTGCTTCGAGAAAGCCGTCTTCATTTTCGGAGTTCATGACAGCGTGTCCCACAGGTGCTTGAGAAAGTGCGTCGGCATGCATCCTCGTGTTTACGCCCTGACATATACACAATCGGAATGTTGAACTCCTGCGAGCGCAAACTGCACTGAGAGAGACGGCCAGATGGATCTCTGAGATTGGTCAGCCAGCAGAGCGAGTTGAAGAGACGACCAGCAGACCATTTTGAAGAGACGACCATAGAGCTATGTAAGGCCGAAATTCGGTTGTCGCCCACACGACTAAGAGGCTTTCCTTTCAGGTGTAGAATAGTTGATCTCGGCTCGAGAAAGAGTGCGACTGGCGTAAGCTATTACATGCTCAACGCCAACATGTCTTTTTTCAAGGACAGTGCCAAGTCTGACGTTGCTGGCATCTGTGTGAATTTCCGTAGCAGCGTCCTTATCGAAATGGGCAAGAACAGGACTGTTTGCATTCTCTGCCGTAGCTCTGTGAACGCTGTATCTTGTTCTGCCCTCCAAGTAAAGGGCACTTCATCTCGGGTGAGTCGCGTAAGAGGCTCAGCTATCTTTCAGCGATAAAGCGGCGATAATACGTGCACAAGCCGAGGAAATGGCGTACTGCTCTTATATCTGACGAAACAGGGAAGGTGGTGACGGTAGCAGTTTTGTCTGGATCAGGTCGCACTCCAACTGCACTAACGACATGTCCCAGAAATTTTAGCTCTTCATAGCCGAAATGGCATTTTTTTGGGGTTTCAGCGTGTGTTCAGATGTGCGATTGGCTTCCAGAACCTTTCCCAGGAGCTTCAGATGTTCTTCGAAGCTCTTGGAGAAGATGCCCACATCATCGAGGTAGACAAGGCAATTTTGCCACTTCAAGCCTGCGAGAACAGAATCCATCATCCTCTGAAAAGTGGCTGGGGCAGAACAGATGCCAAAGGGAAGAACTCAGAATTCGTAAAGTCGGTCTAGAGTCACAATTAAACGCGGTTTTTTTCTCGGTCTCATTCATCCGCTTCGATCTGCCAATAGCCACTATTTAGATCGATGGACGAAAAATACTTCGCACGTCGTAAGCTGTCGAGAGAGTCATCGACGCGTAGAAGCGGGTATACGTATTTTTTTCGGGACGCTATTAAGCTTTCTGTAGTCAATACAGAATCGCAGCGTTCCGTCTTTTTTCTTCACTAGAACGACTGGCGAGGACCGAGGGCTGCTGTATGGTTGAATAATCCCGTCATCGAGCATCTCTTTTACTTGTGTCTGAATAGCCTCGCGTTTTTTGGCAGAAACGCAATAAGTCTGCTGCCGTATGGAGTGGACATCATCATCGGTAATAATTCGATGCTTCGTGAGGTGTGTTTGACGGACTTTGGAAGAAGAGGCGAAGCAAGATTGAAACTTCCTCAAAAGGTCATAAAGTGCAGCGTTCCTCTCATCTGACAGTGTCGAATTAATGTCAATGTGGTCTAGAAATTTCTTATCCTCATGCGTTTCCTCGGACGCGAAGCACTCTGTGACGTCGGCAACAGGGTCTCTATAGGCTACGGTGGTTCCGCAAAAAAGATGCCGGTGTTTGTAGTTGAAGTTCGTAACTAGTATCTGTGACTGACTGTCACGCACATGCACTACACTTTGGGCGGCGCATACACCTTGGAGCAGCAGGAGTGATAGGTTGCTTTCGGCCACCACATCACTGTCTCGGAGGTCTTCACAAGTGACTTCGATGGCAACAGTCGCTCAAGGCGACAGCGTCACACTGTCGTCAGCAACATGCAGCGCAGACCTACGGCAGTTATCTGCGTCTCGATCTGTCGCGCCTTGAGTCGAAAAAGTCACGATGCGCTCACGGAGATTTATGATGGCACCATATTCGCGAAGGAAGTTCATGCCGATAATTAGCTAGCATGAACAGTTGCGAAGAACGAGGCAGGTGACTACAAACGTTGACACATGAATTTTCACTCTTGCCGTACAGCGACCCAGAGGTGTTACAACGTGTCCTCCAGCTGTCCGAATTCACGTTTCATTCCACGGCGTAATCACTTTCCTGAGAACTTTTCCTAGCCTTCCGCTGATAATCGAATAGTCTGCGCCGGTGTCTACCAAGGCATTGACCTGAAAACCGTCAATCAGCACAGGTATGTCAAGTGACTCGCGGTCACTGTGTTCAGATGTATGTGTCGGCGTTTTTTTTTTATTTTCAATACTGCCAGTCTCATACGAGACCAAAGGAGAAGGGCAGCAGTTCTTCGATACACAGTACAGTTTTCAGGTTCACATTTCTACAACAGCGTATTTGGGAGAACTTCTAAGAGGACGCAGCAGCAGAAATGCCTGAAGGGGCCTTTACGAAATTCAATAAGTACATTTTGAAAAAAATGGCATCACTTGCAATAAAAACACAGAACAATCAGTACATAATTAAAGACGGCATACAAGACAGTTCTTATCCAGTAGACAATACAACACTAGTTGTACACAAACACAATAGCACTGTAAACAATACACCAGAAAAATACGCACTTTGATAACTCAGAACCAGTTACTGCAATCAGCAAAGCATTCGTTCACGCGCAATTGAACGCGAACATTTATTCCACAAAAATAACCGCTTGAAAAAACGATAATACGGCTCATTAAAAGAGAAAAAGACTGGGAAATTATTTGCAGAACATATCCCCAATTTTTGAGGTGAACTGTGACAATGATTGTATACTGGTAATCGACGAATCTAGACTATTCCTTTCTCTTATTGACAGGGGAAAAATGAATGTTTGAAGCAATCGTTGTTCAAGGTGTATTCTGTAATGGTGAACGCATGTTTGTGTCTTAGTTCTCTGGGTTCTGCTAGGGAGATGTATTTTGATAAACCGATGCGGCTGCGGTTATGAAGCAGGTTGTGTAGAAACTTTATTTGTGCCAGTTTTGCTCTTGTCGCTAGCGTAGGAAGACCGCAAGATTCTAAAAGGTTAGTGAGTGAGTCGGTGCGTTTATACTTGTTGTAGATAAACCTTACGGCCTTCCTTTGTACGCGTTCTAACCTTGCGATATGAGTGGCATATTGAGGGAACCAAACAGTGTTGGCGTACTCTAAAATTGGACGAACGAATGTTGTGTAGGTTAAGAGCCTAGTTTGTGTCTGTGCTAGAGGGAGACACCTTCTTAAGAAAAACAGCTTGCGCAAAGCGGCAGCTGTGACG